GGGGGAACATGTTTTCCTCAGCCTTGCCAGTACATGCAAATTTGACAACACGCAAAGGAAAGCTAGCCAAAACCATTTTTTCCCAGCGTAGTTTGCCGAGCTACAACCTAATAAAGCCCCAACAATCCACTTTCAAGGCCGCCAGGCCTCAAATCCTAGTTCGGCGAACTAGGCCCGAAAACGATTTTGCCAGGAAAGAACCAGTCAGGTTGGGTGTGAAAGGGAAAACAACCAAACCATTACTATTTCAAGTTCCAAGGATCTTTTTCGTCTACAAGCTCTGGCTGAATGCGCCGTCTCTGAGAGGCTTTGGGGCTTGGGAACATTCTTGGCCGAATGCGGTCCGTAGGTGTTGTTAGGCACTCATCATGGCTAGAGGGCCCCTTCATGGGGCACAACTAAAAGAACTTCAAAACTTCCTGACCTCGAAATTGGGCAGTGTTTTTTAGTGGTGTGGAGAGTGAGCAGGTGAGGCATGACTTCTTAGTTTTTTGCAAACTCGAGCCCGAAAACTCAAGCAAAACTCAAACTGACTGACATCCTCTTGCCCCATGCAAATCCAGTCCTAGATAGGTACCCTGCCCACGCCCGCCCGCGCCTCCAAAATCTCTGCCAGGACTGTGAAGTCGATGAAGTGTGTGTGTGTGTTTTGCGTGTGTGTGTGTGATGTTAGTATGACCATAACTATAACTTAATTTCAGCTTGCTGCGTTAATTTCAGGGTGACGTCGGTGACGTCGTTTTAAATTGCCTAGATAAATCAAAACAATGGACATACTATATACAGCAGGCCTGACAGAAGAGCAGTTAATTAAAATGTTGTATGTTAAGTTCAACCCTTTACCGTCAAGAACGATCTTATATAAATAGAGAACTATCACTGTTTGATCATTTATCAAAAATAGACATTAACATGGAACGTATTTTGGTATACTGAACTATACATTGAAAACAAACAAAAAAAACATTAAATCAACAAGCTGCAAACACAATAAATTTCAAGAATGTTATTCGATATGCAATGGTCACATGGTTATTTGATGACGGTTCTTTGGAGGTTGTATTTTTGGATCTAAAACACAGATTCGAGTTGTTGTTTACAAAGTTACTACTAAAATACAATAGACAATAATCCTAAAAACACTACTATTAGAAAATGTTGATTATTTATACTAGATCAATGTTGTAGTTTATCAACATTTATCGACACTTGAGTTTTGGTATATATAAACTACAGTACAAATACTACTTGTATATACCTCTCTCACTTGCTTTACTTTACCAAAGCAATAATACATGTTTCAACCATTCTAACATGATATAGATATTAATCAACAAAAGCTAAAACAAGCATATACTAAACATGAAGCTGCAAAGCATAATTAGTCAATTAGTCGCCAATTGAGCTGCTTCCTTGACATTTCCATCACATGACACAAGGTGGAAGCATATGAGAAACAAGAAAAGGGTGCACACTCACAGCGCACTGCACTCTAAATCTATTAGACACATAGTCATAGTACATCAAAATATCATAACATTAACATATATTGTCATATAGGTCCTTTGGTAGACTATTGTAGAGTACAACAGCAGGTATTATTAGACAACGTGTATCATTGCAAAAATGTACTGAGGTAGACGGTAGAAGCATATGAGAAACAAGAACAACGTGCGGGAGGCTCTTGCTGGGCAAACCTGCCCAAACTTGACACCCAGGGCTGCTGCAAGTATGAGAATCCCACATCGCTCTGTTCATTAACAAGCCCAAGGCGGAAAAGGAAAATAGTTTACTACAAACAACGTGTTCTACTTCCATATTGTTTAGAGGGAGGCTTGTGAATTCTCCTCTGGATTCCCCTTCCCAACACCCGCGGATTCTGCAGATCTGTGTGGCCAAGGCGCAGGTATCCAAGATTGAACATGATGTGGAAGATGCTATTATGCAGAAAGCACGCCGTGAGCAATCGGTATGTTTGCCCACGATTCACCAGGAGAACGTCCATCCCAAAGTCTCTCCTGGTCGTAAACACCCTCGTGATAAGCATCTTCAGTGCTCGTGATGGGGACATAGCAACGTGCGCAGAGCCTAGAAAAATAGGATGGATGAAGTCATTTCTATATAGTCATTATATGACATGAACGCCAAAATGATACAAGAAATAGATTGATAACGCCACATATGGTTGAAATTCATTGAGGAAAATGGTGTCATCCTATCTTCATGTGTCAAATGTCTATTTGTCTTTTCTCATAGCTTTTAATGGGTTATTGAAAGACGGATAGACCGTTGATTAGTTATATTATCCTTTAAGGACTTGTTTGGTCTTATTTTACTAAAGTAAAGATACACAAAGGAACAAGTAGACATGGAAAAACACGCACACTATTAAAGAACCATAAAACATAAGACCAAATAACACCCCACAGCGAAGTCACAGTTACCAGGAGTGTTTGATGCCGCCTTGATTTGATTGATCAGCTAAAAGTCAACTAAACCATTTGGACATGTGGACGAGATCTGGGCTTCAAAGCCGCCAACACTTTCAAAGGTCTCAACACTGATGCGACCTACTGTCCAAACAGAAATAATCCAAAGAACGTCGCGGACCATACCGGGGAGTGATCACTTTATCCAGACTGGTGGAGCACAAGGCGAGAACACAAACAGGAATGCAGCCCAGTCCATCCCACTTGGTCGATCTTATGGTGCTGAGACATTAAAACACTTTGTGAACATCTTTGAGCCTTGAGCTCTGACAGTTCACCGTGGAGGTTGCTTTCCCCTTGATCGGTCGGGGCATGGGTGTTCCTTGATTGCCCAGCGGTCAGCGGGCGTCGCACAAGGTCTCAGGTCCCCGCTCTCTGAGCTGAGTCTCTGCAAGGTGCTCTTGGTGATGGCCACTGGGCTTCCGTGGACCTGCCCAGGCACGGTACATGGATGTGCGGTCGGCAACACATGGCTGGTGTATGCCTCGACTCAACCCCCCCCAAAAAAACACATACACATATTATTATATATTTATATATATATAATATGTGTGACACGTGGTTTATATATATATATAGAGAGAGAGAGTTGTATATATATATATATGTGTTTTACATGTCAGTGTCCACTCCTCCCTGGACTAAGAAAGTTCTCTCAGCAACAGGCTCTCTCCGCTCTCTCTCCCTCCATCGCCATCAGCAACAAACTACTGTCACTTGTCGTCTCTTTGCAGTCCGATGTCGTCTCGGCGTCCTCACTGTCCTGTCCGAGGCTCCAACCGTCGCCATCGTATGGGTGCCCAAGAGCCAACTTTCCTTGGCGGTCGCCCAGTACGAGTCGTTTTCACGGCTTGACGTCAGCCAGGCGATCCCCCATCATCGACGTGAACCACCGGTTTTGAAGAGGAAAATGGTCATCCAATAGTGGTCAGGACGTCCACTTCCAGGATCATAATTCCAGGGAGCGTGCACGATGTGTACGCACCAAACACTTGTAAGAACACAAAGCTGTCAAACCATGGTCCAAGTTGAAGCATGTTTCTTCCTGTTGTTACTTAATCAAGCCAGCCTCCGAAGACTATGCGGCCGTTTCACAGCATACACGTCTACTTTGGAATGCTTGACCCACGGTCGGACTAGAGGATTGATCATCCTGAACTTGTGCCACATCATCTAAGCTATGTGGTTTGGTCCTCCCATCCGGCCATGCAAGGGAGTCATCATCATCATCATCATCATCATCATCATCATCATCATCATCATCATCCCCAAAAATATATCAAACAACTGCAATTCCCTTGTGTCCCCCTCCTGTTTGCAAAGAATATTGATGATTCTCGTGCTTCGCGAGACCTCGCAGATTTGATCCGCCTTTCTGACACGAGGATGACAAAAGGAACCAAGCCACCCAACCCTGGTTGGAGCGAGCCACTCAACTGGCCCAACTCCCACGTTTCATCCCATTTCATCCCATGCTTCGATAGCGGTGGAGCCCGGAAGTCGTCGGTACCAGGGCTGTGTAAGGTTGAAGCGGCTGAGGTTGGCCCAACCTGCGGACAGCGGGGCGGGAAAAGGACGCTTTCCAAGCTGAAGCACATTGCCAGCATAGTTCATGAGCACCAACCTTGCTGCGTAAAAGTCATCCAAGGCTACAGTCAGCAGGGCTCTAAAGCAGTGTGGGAACCCATGCGAACCGTTGAAGGCAATTTGAGAATCACCTCCCATGTCTCATCAACTAAAATACTAGAATGGACAACTGATTAAGCATGTACCAAAGAGACTCCGGGGTTGTCTATGTTGAACTTCCCTGCATGACCGCTGGTTTCAGGCCTTGATAGCCTTGGTAGAGCCAAAGCCCTGCTAGCAGCACAGCCAGGACTGCAGTCAGCTTCAACCTTCTGCGCCACATCTCTCGCAGCCTAGATGTCCAAGTTCAGCTGCAAGAGAGGACAAACAGAATAAAACTCTGTTACTCTAAAGGTTGTGTGGCACAAGTTAGGCTCCTGGCCTTACTACTAGGAGCAAGGACGCTACTAGGGGCTCCTGGCATCGCTACTAGGAGCAAGGACGCTACTAGGGGCTCCTGGCATCGCTACTAGGAGCAAGGACGCTACTAGGGGCTCCTGGCCCTACTACTAAGAGCAAGGACGCTACTAGGGGCTTCTGGCCTTACTACTAGGAGCAAGGACGCTACTAGGGTCTCCTGGCATCGCTACTAGGAGCAAGGACGCTACTAGGGGCTCCTGGCATCGCTACTAGGAGCAAGGACGCTACTAGGGGCTCCTGGCATCGCTACTAGGAGCAAGGACGCTACTAGGGTAGTTACTAGGGTCCATGGAGACGGCCTTTGTGTTGCAGCCGGATAGCCCATGGGAGCACGTCGGGGGACGTGCTCCATCCGACCCTCCTCGTATATGGATGACTAAGGATGACTAAGGTATAGCATACAGTACTGTAGTTAATATAGTTTGATCCCCAAATAGGCATCTCCCCAATTGCTCTTCAAACAATGGGAACAATGGAATGGAGGGGTCAGTTTGGTACCTATACCTATTGGTCGTATTCGTTGTCCCCTCTATAAATCAACCAAACAAAGTGTATAAGCCATCTGTGGCAATAATTTGCACTTTGTGAGTATGTGTGTACGTGTGAAACTACATGTGAATTTATGTCTTTATCGATTATCGATCGCTGGTTATGACCACGACCAGCGCGATGTCAGGGTAAGCCGTCCTCATTCCCTCTCACAGTGCGCCAATGGTCTACACCAAGTCTACATCATCTTTTGCCGAGTTTGGATGGCGAACCAAGGCTCCAAAATGCAATGACTCATCCCAAAATAATTACATCAGTAGGTGCTTCATCAAGTGGCTGGTTGTAGATTGGTATGCCCTCAGGACCCCGTGACCGGGCAGCACGCGCACAGGCGCTGGCAAGCACGAGCTGGGAGCTGCCCATCAGTGCGGCTGCCGACAGCAACAGGTGGTGACCTAGTGCATGGGGTGCCCCCGAGAAGGGCAAACATTCAGTGCATTCTTGTTGCGTTGAGTGCTTGCCCTGAGTGCTCACAGAACCATGAAGGAGCAACAAACACATGTGCTTGATTGAAATTCGTGTCGGCACGACGCCGCAACTAGTGCTTTGGCCAAGTAAGTTGTCAATCCACCAACAAAAGATTGCAATGCACGGGAAGTAATCCTTTGGTTTAACTACTTGTCTAACACAAAAGGCCAGGCCCTCAGGATACCTGGAAAACTCATGACGGTTCGAGTGTTTGTGCCTCAGCAAGTCACAAATCGCACCAGAACTGTCCAGGCCTCCCAAGGGCCCTCCATGCATCAACTGCTGAGAAGCCTTCAAGGGCTCACCACCTTAGCGTCTGTCGTTCTTCAGGTTGTGGCCCGAACCATGAGTGAATACAAAATGGCAAACTTGACGCATTGGCCAACATGTCATGGCTTATTTGTGTCCTGAGTCCTTACTTTATCTTACTGTCTGCATATAATTCTAATGTTGAACTAAGCACCACCAGCTGACCATGGATGATTTTGGAAACACAGGCACATACAGGCACTGTCAGGACGCAGCTGAGGCACTGGGAATCTTCCACCCAACAACGGCACCAGGAACCCCGAGGGGAGGTGGGGAGCATGGTGCCAACATGGCCCGATGCACGGCTCAGTCGATGTGGCGGTTGCTCTGTGTTGAGGTTTGCAGGGTTGTTCTTCAGGCTGTTCTTTGCTTAGAGCAATGGAAGCAAACAACGAGGAAGACCAACACACGCCAAAGAATCTACGGTCAGATCGGCTCTCGAAATGTCGGAAATGAAGGGTGGTGAAAACATCTAGCACTCGCTTCACCAAAGGGATAAGGCACAACATGTTAGTTTTTTTGGGGCTCTTAGCTATAAAGCCCATGTCTGGAGCACTTTGGCACCCAAGTCTGAAGCCATGTCAGTTTCAGGAGGCACCACATACAGAACATTACTGTAATTGTAATATTATGTTATATATTGATTATATATTGAGATATACTGTATTGAGTCTTATGTCTTTCGCACTGCTTCAATAACTGCATGCACGTCATGTGCAATCGGCTTCAAGCTCAAGCCGGCAAATGGTGATTGACCATATAGGTAGGATTTGCAGATTTGATCAGCGCTTGACACTTGGGAGACTTTGTTGCCATGGCTGATGGCCCCTGCTATTGGGTGGAAGAAGCCCACTAGACCTGTTTCACTTCCATGTTCGCTGGTTGTGACATGTCGCGACCAAGCAACCAAAAAATGAACAACATCCCTGTCGACAGTCTGTCGACGTGACCGATGCCGCCAAGACAACAGATCTTGGTCAAAACGCCCACCAAACGGAAATGATGTCTGTCTAACTAACTAAGTAACTCACTCACTCACTCACTCTCCCTCTCTCTCTCTCACTCTCTCTCTCTCTGTCTATCTGTGTGTCTGTCTGGCTGGCTGGCTGGCTGGCTGGCTGGCTGTCTGTCTGCCTGCCTGCCTGCCTGCCTGCCTGCCTGTCCCTCCCTCCATCCACATATGAAATAGGCCACACTCTCATGATCCCAATTAGATATGCAAAGCCGAGAGATACGATAAACTGAAGAATTCAGAAAGCAACGTCTTCCAACCACTTAAGATCCACAAACTCAATCCTGGTGTCCAAAACCCAACACTCGGAAAACATGAAACACATCTTCGCGCACCTAAACACGTGGACAACACTGCCAATTTCTATTTCGCTCTGCTGAACGGCTTAGCGCTTAGCTCTCTTTTTCGATCGCAGACCATCCAGTCAAAGCTGGAGCTTTGCGAGGGCCTGCTCAAGCGCAAGATGAACTCGGCTCAAGGAAATGAGGCTTTTCAAAGCGCAAGATGAGCTCGCTAACAACAAGGTGGGTCCAGGCACTGATAGGCTGAAAGCATATTCTCAACTCCTCCCACATGGCGTCACTTCAGCCTCTCTCAAGAGCAACGCTTCCAACTAGAAACAACATCAGCATCTGAGACTAAAAAAGTCCTTTAAAAATCACAACAAAAAGAGACAAAGCAACAGGTGATTTTGGGTTCCAATAACGAATGAATGAATCAGGCCACACCCGATGTTCCGCCTTCATCAATGCCTTGCCGCCCTCGCTCTCAGCGAGGCGCAGGGCTTCCTCGCCGACCACCTCGCCTGAGTTCGTGATCTGCACCTTTCCAGGGGCATAAGCTGGGTCCTCCAGCTGAGGAGCTGCTGGTGGGTTTGGTTTTTTGGGACCCCTTGTTTGTCCCAATGAGTCGTATCGAGACAAAAAACCATAGGCTCATCGATCGTTGAGACACATCGGAAGGGAAGTCCCTGGCCTTGGATTGATGGAAAAAGGGCAGCAGCGTTCCTATGATGGATCTGGGTCAAAGATATGTTTCTGTTTGCCCGCGCCACCAACACAGCCCCAATTTGCCCAAGCCCCACAAGGGTGATTCCGTTCAAGGAAGGATAAACAGAATATGGACCTGTTATGAGCCCCATGCATGGGCTTGACACCTGCTGCAAGCCTATTTGGACCATCCATGTCTCCATGTTCTTGTCACGAGTCCTAACAATCCAAACACCGCAAATCCAACGTATCCGTGGTCAAGTGTCAGGTCTTTCTTGGACATTCAATCGCCCCCGGGTGGTTCTCTTCAACTCTGTCAAGTGGCCGGTGGGGCGATTGGCCACATTCACCACGCAGGCGGCCGCACGCATGGTGCCCTTGGAGAGGTTTGGCCAGTCGGTTCACCCCTGAATGTACTGTACCCGCCTGCAAAGTAACGCGGTTCCCCAGTTTTGCCATTGGGTTTTGGAAGCCGACTCTTCCACAGAGAACCCTGCAATCCTCGCGGTGTAGACACATTGCTGATCATGGCCAAAGGCTGTCGGGTCAACGCACCAAACCAGAATTGTCACTTTGGGTCAGTCAATCTGACAACCTGCCGTGTGAACGAAATCCTTGGCCTTATCCTTTGCAAGGAGCAATGATTTGACATCAAACTTGTCATGTACAACAATTGCAGCATGACGAGTTTCAGGTTTACCTTGGTAAACAAACACGGAGACTGCAACATGTGGTGGGGATAGTAGTAATTATCTATCCGAATTTCTCAAGGGTGATCGGTTAAATCTAGCCACGCTGGGTGATATTATAGACCATAAGTAAGGAATTGTGCTGACCCGTCTCTTTCCTTTTGTTTAGCGGCCATCTGGCTGCCACACGGCAGCTGCAGCAATAAGTTCTCCCTCTCTCTCTCTATACATGTAGCAATTTTACAATAATTATCCTGAATCTTCAAACGTGCAGAATTTTCTTACCTAGTGGTTGTTTCAACACTTTTGGCCGCAAAAGGCCGCAAAACCTTCAAACCGTTCAATCTGGATATTCTGGCCCAATAGTTCAATAATTGGAGTTGAGCAAGGAGAATCGTTCAATTCATGAAGAATTGATGTGATTGGACGATTGGACTGTGTATAGTTTGACATTTGGAGGTTTGCAAAAACAAAAGTACCTACTTCCTAGCGTTCACGTTTTGAAGAGCTGGATGCTGAGTAAGCCCCCCACTAATTCAAGACATGGAAGCATCCCTCAACAAATGCTGCTATTCGTATTCACTCGACTCGATATGCAACATGTAATGTGCAAAAATGCAAGACACAAACAGTACATAAAAATCCACAAATAGTACGCAAAAAGCACGCAAATAATATGCAAAAACCAGCAAAAGTACGCATATCGGGATTTCTGTACTCTTGGCTTTTTGTTGGTTTTCAGGATTTCTAGAACAAAGAGGTTTCCCTTGGGATGATGAGTGGAAAAGGACGTGCTATCCAACAACAAAAACATTGTGTACAATCTGCAAGTCGACCTGACACGCTTTCTATTTATTTGAACCGGTCAAATGTTCATTGATCGCGCACTTGTTTGCACTGTGGCTTACAGTTCCACTTGATGGGACCCATTAAAGTGTGCGGATCAAGAAAAGAAAAGGAGCAGCGCTAGCGTTCAATTTTGGCTGAAACCATTTACTTTTGGTTGGAATCGGCCAAGCCGGCCCAATAGGAAAGAAATCCCAATAGTGAAGAACATTCTTAATTGTTGAGGGTCTATATATACATGTCTGAGTCTTTGTGTGCGAATAGATTTTGAGACATGTGAACGTCCAGCTCTGTGGCCTCTTCTATTCATTCTAATCCCGCTCTTTTCGTCGGCCAGGGCGCTTTCGGCAAGCAGCTGCGAGCCAAATGAAAAAGTTGGAAGGTCTCCATCTCCTTGGACCACCGTCGCGCACAGGGAGGTGCCACTGCACACGGCACACGAGCTTAGAATTCATCGGGGGAGTCCCGCACTGTGGAGTTGCCTATCACAGCACCAAGTGTTGGTCTTATTTCTCATGGGGGGGTTCTGGCACTAATCCACAGCAAGACCTCCCAAACATCATCTATATAAATACTGTACAAAATCCTCCACCCTCTGAAGTCCGTGATTTGATGTCAACTCATCCCAAGACATCTCCTATCTGGCTGAGCTTTTCCAAGTGTCCATGGTGATTGCTTTGGGGTACCTGTCCAAGACCTCTCCAATCAGCTGGCTGTTCTCATCGTTGAAGGCGGAATCAGCACGGCCCTGCGACGAGTAGAAGGAGTCCGCCGTGAGGTTGGTGCCTTCGTTCACCTGAAGAGGTTGGTGGACAAAGGCCATCACCAGCTTCAAAGTCAAAGAAACTCCGATCAACAGTGGGATTCTGGTGTGTCTTTCTGGAACACATGACTCGGCAGTACAAATCTATCTACGAGCTCCTAGCAGAGTTGCACTTTTACAATTCCTCAAAAAAATATCGAAATGGACTATAGTACAAAAGGTGTGACGCCTCCCTGAATTTGAGCACGTCCTTATTAGACTGACATGTTGCTGCTCTGGGCTGGGAGGTGCTCACAACTGTCTTCAATTTTTGTGGAATGCTAATGTATGGTGCAGTCTTGGGTGCAGAATGTGGTCTTACCTAGTAAGAACCCGTGCAGAATGTGCGAGTTAAGGAGTCGTTCCGGCCCTTGGAACAGTTTCTTAGGGTTGCCAGTTGACCAACCTCTTCCTGAATGGTTTTGTCGGCAATTTGTAAAACCTTTACTCTGCGGCTTTCAACATCTGTACCAGAAATCTGCCTCTCCCGCCACTCGTATGCGCTCACCCCACCTTCTCACCGCCAAGGGCCTCCCTCAAGGCTGCAATGACTGTCGAGGTGAGTTCCTCAACGGGACTGCACCCAGATCGGCCCATTCGTGCCGGTCCCCAGTCCATCCTGTTTGGGTCTCCTAAAGAACGACAACACGCACAGCGCGGGGGACACCGTACATCGCCAGTGATCCATCGGTGAATGCACCGGAGAGCTCTGGTAAAAAGTCTCCGCCGAGTCGGACTCTGCTTGGAACACTCAACGTTTAGGAGTCATACCCTATATAAAACATAATTAACTATTATATAAGTCAAATGACAACGTGATTCTATGATTGAGCAGTTCATGACGGACGCTGCAAACACTCCAGCTGCTATGCTCTATCAGTTACATAGCCTACATAGCAGTAGTTGCATCAATGGTATATCCAACTGTGCCCACCCTCGCCTCAAGTTGCTTTCCTCACAATCCTTGGCATCACCCTTCCTTGCATACACGACACTGGCAAACATCCAAGGGACGGCATCTGGCAAACACAGCTCTGAGATTGTGTAGGGCTTGGCCTCGGAGCAGTTAGCCATGCTGCTAAGCATTGCTAAGCTAGCCAAGAAGTGGAGGTGGACAGTTAAGACATGTTTAGACTAAAGGCCGTGCCATGTTTAAACCCTTGAACATCCTCCCCCCCCAAAGGCTCGGAAGCCCGGAGGCCAGCATCAGGGGCGCTTTGCAGTTAGCCCTGAAATCAGTGCTAAAAACCAATGGAAAATGGGGTGTTGCTTCATCAATGAAGTCTTCATGCAACATTCAGCCTTGAGACTGTTTCAGTTCAATGGACCTGGAGGTGTTCCAGCTCACATGAAAATGAATGGACAAACATGCCTTTTCACTGGTCATCGGGAAGCAACACAATAAATGGGCGAATGCTTATAGAATGAAGAGACGCACAACCAACGGGTTTCGTCAGTATGTCAATATTATGGGGAGGTCTGAGTCTGTGGGTGTCTCCCAATTTCAATACACCCTCCGCACAAAGCGTTGTCTGCTCAAGTCTGTGTTGAGTGCCCCTGTGCGTCGATCTCTTCTTTCGCGATCTTTGGGTCTCCAGTTTGGAGTGACCAAGCGTCTGGCCGCAGTAGCAGCCGCAGGCCCGAGAAGTCGTTGGGTGAAACCGCAAGTGTATGCAACATTGAATGTCCTTTGAAAGGCTCACTCGGAAAGCGTGCTTCGCCTCCGTGCTTCCTTCCAAAGAGATCTACTGAATTAGTTAGTCCTTGCATGGGGTCTGTTCCACCACGCAACAAAATTGACACAAATCGAGGCCTCCAGGCAAAAAACGCAGCATATCCATTAGGGCTGTGAACCGGTGGTGGACGCTTTCCAAAATGGAGAGCATGTCTATAGTTGTCAAACATGTACACACGCCTTTCACATGCAACCAACCCAATCCACTTGTCTTCTTGCAGAGATGCCCAAAAAGGTCACCCGCGAAAATGCCAAGAGATCACAGCTCATCCAAAGATACCGCCCATCTGTTGCTGGGGTGCAGCCGACCTCGTTCACAGGCGGTTTCTTGGATTCTTGGGTATCTAGTCTAGGACCTAGGATACACCACCTGCAGCCTTCTGTGTGCCATGTGAACCCCCCCGTGCATGTCCCGTTCTCAAAAATAGGAACGCTGCGACGCTGCACCAACTCATGGAAACCTGGCTCCAAACGAATCCTCGAGGTCGCCGAGGACTCTGGAAGCCAAGGATTCTGACAACTATATACTATATACCTAGCGCTTCCAAGGGGTGCCCAATGGAGACCTGTAAGTAGTGTGGAGATGTCCATTGGCGACCCCTTGGAAGCAGCTGATATGGTCGTCTATATGTTCTTTATTTTTCATTATTTTCCCCATCTCTCCTTCAAAGCCTTCCAAAAACGACCGGTTGGGTAAAAACAACATCAAACACTGGGGGGTGACTAGTTGCCCGATGTTGCCCATCCCATGCTCGTCTCTCCCTATGGTCACTTCGAGCTGCAGGAACCCCTCGCGAATCTGATGCTCCAAGTCCTTCACTGCTGATGGGCCATGTGGCACCACGATGGAGCCATGACTGGATGCCTCATGTGACACCACCGCTGGCCGATCAGAAAAGTGTCCGATAAACCGATCGCGCTCATTTGCAAACAAAGAGGCAAATTCTTTCAAGGTGTCCAAATACTGTGTCATGATCATCATGTGCATGGCTTCCTTCTCTGACATGCCACTCTCCTTCATGAATTTCATGGAATCCTGGAAGCCCTGCGCCATGGCCGCGCGCATATTCGCCATTCCTTGGTTGGACTCTGTCAGGGCAGGGACCAGGCCCTGGCATAGCAGGAAGATGCTCAGCTTGGTCCATGGCGGAAGTTGTTGCAACCAACCTCAACAACTGATTGTCAAAACAGGTCATGATCCATTGTGTTCCGTACCACTGTCACATTCCAAACCAGCGACCCTGGAGGCGCTGGAGATAGCTCACTAGAGACACCAAACTGAGACCGCGAACGAATGCAAGCTTATAGTGATGTGCGTGTAAATGTGGATCTCAGCCAAGGGATAAAGTTTCTCACCTCCACAAAAAGGACCCTGAAATGAACTTCTTGCACTTCCCCGAAAAACGCTTCTAACCATCCAACCATCCGTTCTGGATGCCAACCTTCGTTCCGTTCATCCACGGTTCCCCCCGACACCGACACCTTCGTTCCAGGCACCGACACCGGCCAAGCGCTTGGCTTCAGCGTCCGCCTCCGAGGCCTTGATCTTCAGGAGCTTGTCGGCCTGGCCGGTCTTGACGGCCAAAGGAGTCCGAACCAAACAGTCCAACATGTTTTTCGGTCAAAATCGCCGTCTTCTGCAACAAAGACAACACATACGTTGCCGGCATGTTTGTTAAGGTCAACTCTTTTTCTTATAGGGGTTCAAGTCTTGTTGTCCCCGAGCTTCGTCTCTGAGATGGTCCCTTCTTTTGGGCCACAGGTCGAGGCCCGTGGCCCGAGGGTCCATCCACATGAAGTTACAGCCACCTGGACGTTGCAAACACCTGGCCAGCCTGGTGGGCCTTTTGCGGGGACTTCGCAGCTGCTGCGATGCCCATACAATCGCCCGGGGTGGCATCGATCGGAGCTGCGCTTCTGGGACCCCCAAAATCCCCGTCCAGGCGTCCAGGAGCTTCCGAGTGACGCTCTTTGGAGTCTGAGTGAGTTTTTTTGGAGGCCGTATAGCGACCTTTTACTGGCTTAAGTGACCTCAAACCTCATCATTTTAGGTCACTGGGAAGATGATGACGAAGCCAAATCGAAACATGAAAGGATTGGACTTGATTGGACCTGACGAAGCCTCCTTTCACAGCGTTCAGTCAGTGGGTTCGGAACTCCACGGCGCCCCGCCTCGCCCTTCTCAAAGGCGGCCTCCCGCTGTCTGCGGGAGGCATTGATCTCATTCATGGCGTCCAGGACCGAACGCTCAGGTTGGATGTCGGTGATGAGGACGTTGAGGATGTCGTAGCCGTACCTGGACGTACGTTGAGGATGACGTACGTCGACGACAGGATGGAACCATCCCTTCATGCTGGGTGGCCAAGCGTCTGTCCGACCACGGACCCGGTCCCTTGGACCCTCATGAAACAATAGCCGAACGAATCTGGTCATGGAAACATCATGAAACCTCCTCAACGGGCATCACCATTCAATGCTTTCGAGTTGGTCTCGGATGTCAGCTCAATGTTGGATGACAGTCTCTAGCAGCATCTCCAACCCCTTCTCCTCTGGCCTTCCCATCGCTTCCCTCACCTCAGGCATGTGAGCGTGACCCTCCATGGAAGGGTACCCCACACCGAACCAAAAGCATGCCTGTCACCAACCCCTGCATTGATCCAACCAACAAATCTGCAATGTTCAAACAATTCCCCACAGGCCAAGTTAATTCACTACCATCATCTCATCATCCTGGGGCCAGGTCTTGCATTACTGTAACACATTTTACATCCGAGGTTGTATAATAGAAAATACGTATAAGCAATATTTTGTTGAAACACTACATAACATGTTGTTGTCTTATGTGTTTGCATTATGCACTTTATTGTGTTGCCTTTCTCCGTAATTTTGCCCCCCTGCAGTGACACATAGCCGATAGCTTGCCATGCACGTTGGCTCTAGCAACGTGTGAGGTGGACCAAACCGTACAGGTACAGTTCTTCAGAGAAACTTCAGGTCCTGAATTGATTGTTTTCGTTGTCTGGTGGCGCGCCCCATCATGTTAGACCTAAGACCTACAGTAGTTGTGCAAAAAGGTTCAACAGGTGAAGCACTTAAATTTGAGTTGAAACATGTCGAAACAACGCACACCTTCATGGCGTATCTAGTTATATATGAATATATTAATATGACTCTTAATGGTTTCATAGTATCTGAAACACTATCTGGGCAAAAAGTGAGTACTGCAATGCCAAAACAATGACAACATCGCACAGTGAAGCCCAAAGTGTGTGTGTGTGTGTCTCTCTCTCTCTCTCTCTGGTTCAATCTCTAGCGGCTGAGGGTAGGATCTCTTCCACCATCTTCTCCTTGGCTGCATAGGATTCATCCAAGGTCATAGTGGGCAACGTCGACCGCAAGACGCTGTCCACCTCGGACAGCGGCGTCAGCCGCCGCGCCGTAGAGCGGCGTCTCGCGATAAAAAGACCATGCGGGGAGACCGGCACGTCGGAAAACCATCTGGGAGACCTGGTGACCACGCCAAAAACATCCAAAAACCAATAGAACGAAGGGATTTCCATGATTCAATTGTTGGTGAATGATCCTGAATAGGTTCTTGCATATTGTCATAGGCAGCCGAACGAGCAAATGACTGCATGCAAAAGCCAATCGGAACTCTGGCCATCTTCGCTGATCCCCCAAAGGGCCGGCAAATGTGTCTCATCCGTAAACACTCTCATCATGATTCTGCAGTGTGGCACTCTGCCTTGCGTTGTTGCCTGGATCTTACACCAGCCCGGAACCCCCAGACATGTGTCCGCACACGTGCATGGCAAAAACGAGTTGATCGCCCGCCTCAGCCGCAATCTGCGCTTGGGGACTGGCGATGTCGAAGACGGCCACCTTCACCTGCGGCTCGAAGCGAGCGGCGCTTGAGTTGAGCAGGTCGGTTGTCGAGCGTGGCATGGCAATCTCTGCCCTAGTGCTTTGGCCTCTGCAGCTATACAGCATCGTAGATAGAACTTCTGATTTACATATTTTTGAATACTTGCAAACCTCCCAAGTCTGCAGTCTACAGAGCTATCAACCAAAACTTTACCAATACAATCTCCCACATCCGCCCCTTTACTTGTAAGCTCCGCCACGTCTTGGTCTGGAGAAACATGGTGCATCAACCGATCCGCAGCAACTGCCCGGCACTCTGCCCGGCCATATCTTTCTGGATACGGTACTGAACAGCAGTGACCACGGTGACTGTCACATTGTCCTGGAAAAAGGCTGCTTGGTTGATCACACGTCGTCCCAAGACATCATTGTTTGGGATCAGGACGGTGTAGCATGG